CGTAACTTTCGTTACAGTATCATGGAATTGTCCATCAAAAAATACACATAAAGATTGATTGCAACTAAAATGTAAATTTTCTGACTTCCCTTCTTGCACAGTAAACAGGATTGAATCAATCAGGAATGAAAAGAAGCGATTTTACTTACAATGAAAACAATGTTTAACTATTGTTCAAGTTGTTTTTTTCTGGTTGAATCCAGAAAAAAAGTTGTTAAATAATTATTTGAGTCAACAAAATAAAGACAAACCTATTTACAATTTAATGGGTAAAGAGATTGAACGAGAGGAGTAACAAGAGTAAAAAAGAGCCAACAATGTGAGTGATGTTTCAGATCCTCCTACTGATGTTACCTGTCGAGTCTCGTTAAGCCTAAACAAGACGATGCTACAAGGGTTACACCTTGATCTTTTACTACAGCAACCAAGTGATGAGCAAATGTAAAGAGGCGAAAAGAAGAGAAAGAGCAAAAAAAGATGAATAAAAAGAAGAAGATAAATTCAAACTGATTGAAATGCACATAATTGAATTTCAATTGAATTTCTGTTCACCCAAAAGAAAAAACAAGTTCACTTTATTTCAACTTTTCATGATTCTCTTACCTTCAACTCTTTACTGATTTGTGCTTTGCCTTGTTTACTATACCAATCAATTTTAATACATGTTTAGACAAATAGTTTACACAGTTTTCCAAGTGATTCATGATTTAATATTAAATACACAGAATCATTTCAACTCTTCTAATATTACCTGTGTAAATACCAATTCAATTTGATTTACAGACTTTTCATGTTTACCAAAAGTTTTAAAATTTTCAGATTCATTTTTCGTTCCAACAAATTGGTGTCATTATCAACACTTGATGTTGCTTGAAAAAAGGTTAATTTCAATCGAAGATTAAACTTTCAATAAATTTGTCTTCTCTATTAACATTGCCATTAACATTAATATCAACATAAATAACAAAATAACAGACTCAAGAACATTATCATTTTAGATTTCAATGAAATTGGATTAAAGAGAGAATCAGATTTGTGTTGAATATTTAACCATTTTTTCATCAACTGAATCACTTGAATAATTTATTCATTTCACCTTTATTTATGCAGATATAATATTTACAAGAAAAGGCAGGAAAACGGTAAAATGTCTTTTTTCCATCTTTTCATCTTCGCAAGAAAATTCTTTGTCTTAGAATGCAAAACAAGATGAAGCCAAAGTAAACCTTTTCAGTTTCATTCACTCTTCCTCCTGCAACATTAGTCTTCTGTCAATGTAACTGGTTCATAAATAAGCATTGAAAAGTGATGCGTTCCTCTTGCCTTTGAAACAATCTCTACTCATCCTCATCTTATCTTCAACATCACCTTCTTTTCTCGACTTTTTCGCCCCTTTCTTCGCTCTTCTCTTATCAATAAATTTAATCTCGACTTTTAATTCAAAAATAGTTGCTCCAAATGTTTGACAACAAAAGAAGAGAAAAAAAGAGATTCTTCTAAATCATTTACTTTTTCCTGTAACTAAATATTTTTCACCAATTTTGTCTCTTCAACATCAAGATAAAGTATAAAAATATTCATGATTCTTGGTTAACTTGAAGTCTGTTTAAATTCAATTTAACCTTCGACTTTTGCACACCTGAGTGAAGTGACCATTGACGAGATTAAAGATTAAAAGCTTGTAAGTTGATTGAAGACAAAATGAATAAATGATGGATTTAATTTAACCTCTATTTCGATTCCTTTTTTTACACGAGTTTTCCATGACATTTGAACTTTTCGAGCAATGGAATCGAACTGTAAATGTTAATTTGATTACAATGTTTGTAAATGTTGTCATATTAAGCGTTTTACATTTGAATAATGATTTGGATTGGAAAACATTTCAAATCATTTCTCATGTGATTTGGGTGAAAATGATTTGAAAGGCAAAATGGAAAAGTAAAAAAAAGTTTATTTCGCTTCATCATTATCACTATTGGGTTTGCTTCTTTCTTTAAACTTTTCACTTTTTCTCTTCTTCTTTTCTTCTCTCATCATCGCCATCATCATTATCTTCTTGGTAATCCTCTTACAGTGGTGTTCACTGTTAATACCAAACATGAGTATTTGCAGATTAATTTGAAATGAATTAATCTCATTGCAAATAATTTCCAATTGATTTGATTCTTATCAACATTGTAACATTTTCCTCGTGAACAGATGAAATAATCTCACCAACATTATCGACTTGATACATTCTTGATTTACGCTAATGCGCCTGGCGATGTGAATAAAATATGTTATCATAGTTTAATGGCACGGTTCAATTGGAAGGCGAATCAGTGGTGAATTGAATGGTTGATGGAATGAGGAAAGAGAAGAGAATAGAAAGTTTTGCGAAAAAAATATTCTCATTGTTCATCATTTCAATCATTATTAATATATTTAGTGTCATTAATAATGGAACAGGAAAATTGAGATTGATTCAAAAGATCGGAAATCACGGCAAGGAATGTTATTGCCTTTTCAAGATTTTCATATCTTCAGTTGAGAACGTTTTTGTTTCAGTTCATGATGGAAAAGCGACTTTCAGAGTAAAGATGGAACATTTTTTGGAAGGAAAATTCTGATAGAGTTCGTAAAAAATTTTAAAATTTGATTTTCTTTTGAAGCTGATTCGAGACAAATTTTGATATCGAAAAGTTGCATTGCAAAATTATTCGAACATTAAAATGAAGCGGAGAAAATGGAAATGAATTGAAATGAACTGGAAAGTATCCAAAAAAGAAGTTCGTTTATTCAAGAATTACTTCTGGATAAAATCAACATTATTGATCTACAATTTTCCATTTTTTCGTCATTTTCGATTTCACATTCTCGACTATAGAAGTCGCAACTTTTAATATAATTTTTTATCTTTGATTCAATGAAATCGAATTGAATCGAACTTACTTCTGGAGTAATTTTTTCACCAATAATTTACTTTCATTACTATTTAGAGTAAATAAATTTACTCAAATGATTATTGTCTTGTCTGAGGAACATTGAATCAATTTTGGTTGAACAAGAAACGAGACAAAATTGCATTTCTTATTATCACTTTTGTGTTGAATTAGCTGAGAATTGATGAGCAAACATGAATAACCTGAACATTTGGCGTAATAATCATTGAAAGGAAAACACAACAATGACGAAAAAGGATTTTTCAAAAGAATTAATATTCCACTGAATTATGAACAAATCATTTGCTAATACAAACTGATTAATGGAATCCAAATTTTTCGCCAAAAATTTCGACAAATTGAGAATAAAGTTTCCATCCAAATGAATCAAGTTAAATTGAATGCATTTGACGAGAGAAAAGTTGATTTCAATCATTGATTAGTTTATTACTCAAGTGAAAGAGATACTTTCTCAATTTGTTGAGTTAAACATGATGTTGATAGAGAAGAACCTTGTTGATTAACTTTTCTCTCTCAATTATTTTTGCTTCAAAATTCTGTTCACTTTTTTTTCTCTTCCTTTGTATACATTCGACTCTCAAAGTTTCACATTCACATGGGAGTTTCAAGAGTACAAGTTGATATCCATGGTAATAATATCATAAATCAAATGTGACTCTTTTCATCTTTTCTCATCTTTTTTTCCTTCTCTTCTCGGTATTCATTAGTTGAGTTTTTTACACTCTTTGTGCCTCTTACTAAAGCAATCATGTTCAACAACATCATCATCTTCATGTTCAACAACAAGATCAAAATCAGTCTCATTAAACTCTCAACAATCAAAGGATCACCATACTAATTAGTCCACTTAACGCAAACGTTTTTTTCTTCATTTTCTTCTTTAGTTTTTCTTCCAATGAAATTTGGCGAAAAACATCTTTTTTTCGCAAACAACTTCTTCTTTGTATACAAAATTGTTGTTTCATTTGATGTGGTGAAAGATGCGTTGACAGGTTCAAGATGATGAGGCGGAAAGTACGATATTGTTGAGGAATGATGGATTCAATGATAAAGTGAAAGTGATGATAAACAGAGAATCTTATTGTTAAGAGGAAAAGAAGTGTTTGTGTTCGGGAAAAGTCAGACTCTGAACGTTTTGAGTTTGTTGGAAAGCTCAAAGGTTTACATTATTGGAATGAGAATGATTGAGGAAAAGAGTAAGATTGATTGGGAGATTTAACTGGATTCTCATTTTGATGAAAGTTGAACACACAGTGAAAATGATAGAGAAAATGGCAAAATCTTTTCTTCTCACATCATTCAACATTCAATGGTCTTTTCACTCTTCGATATCACTTAAACGATTCACACAACTTTACAATCCTCAGGAAGAGAAAAAACAAAAAGTCTAATAAAAATGGTGAAGATGATGATGACCAAAGAGAGAAAAGTTGAAGCAAGTGAGAAAATGATGATCATGATGATGGAAAAGGAATGAAACCTTGGATTATCAGATTGACGAGATTTACCATTCACAATTCAACATTCATTGGGAAAAAGGTTTTAAGCTTTGTTTTTATTTGTTGCCTCAACAACTCAATCATTAGTTAATCTGACTCGTCTTGGTGACACTCAATTTGCTCAGTACAAAGGGATGAAAGAAGATACATTAAAAGTCGAAAGGACAAAGGTCTAATTGACAGTTGAGAGAAAAAGGTGAAATTTTTTCTTCTTCTTTTTCCATGAAGTTGGAAAGAAGCATTAAAGGAAAAAAAGGATTAACATTTGATTGGATAATGATGATTTGATGGTAAAAGTATGGACTTTAATCAATATTCAATGCAAGTAATCTGATGATTGGTTTGACTTATCCAAACATTTGTAACATTAGAATCACTTGAAGGTTAAAAATGATGAATTCAACTTTTGTTTGTTCAACAGATTTAATCGAAAGAAAAGAAGATGATTTTTATTATGAAATGGATAAACATGATAATTGTCTTTTCTGTGTTTGCTAATCATTCCCTGAAATTGGAGATGGGATGAGGTGGGTGAAGAGCAAGTTGAAAGGCTTACCGTAAACAATCATTTTTGCCTTCTTTGAATCACCATTATCGGGTGACATGACGACACATGAATAGTCACCAGAGAGATCGGTTGTTGGCTTAATTATGTTGATTGCTCGGTATTGGGTTAAAGGGTTGGCAGAGTCGATGGAATAGTTTAAATTGATTCGACCCGAGAGGCGTTTAGATGCATGACGAGAATGCCTCTCAGGTATCCATTGGTAAATTGGTTGAGGATCATCATTGAGAAACCATTTAACAACAATCCGATGATCTTCACCTTCATTTAAACAATAAATACAATCCAAAACTATGCTCTCTGTGGTTCCATTTTCAACCAATTCGGGAACAATTAATGACCGAATTCCCCATTCACCGTCATTACACACTGAGGATGAAGAGGTTGAAGAAGGCGAAGAATAAGTTGGTAAAGATTTCTTATATCCTTGGAACAATTTAGATGCTGTTGCCATAGTCAAACTTGACAAGGTAAACAAAAGTGACAACCATGATGAAAGAATCATGTTGCTCTTTTTTTTGGAATTTTAAGGTAAATCAAAAAATTCTATTGTTGAAAATTATTTGGTGATTACACAGTTTTGGTGGTTAATGATGATTATTGAACACACACTTGGTGTCACTTGGTTTGTATCTGAGCTGGGAGTTTATTATTCAAATGTTATTCACTCCCAGCTCTGCACTTATTTATCAAGATGATGTAAACACTGGTAGACAAGGTGTTGTGATTGAATATTTTATTGATTCTGCACAGGTTAAAGGACTAACTTTTTTTGGTAAGATTTACTATTTACTAATCTTTATCTGGCATCTCAATCATGCATTCAATTCATTTTCTCATTCAGAGCTTATCATGCTCTCACTCTTGCTACTCTTGCTCACTCTAATTTGCGTTTAATAATTTTTTCTCTTTTTCATTCTCTTCTTCTTAACCATCATCATGTCAACTATAACTTTATCTGTTACTGTTACTTTTTTTCCTTCTCATCCTCTCCTCTTCTCGCCTCCCAACATCATCATCAACTCACTATTGAATTATCCTTGCGCGATTACACTCATTCACAGGGCCCTCTCTCGACGAGAAAAGGCACCATCAGACCGGCTTACTTTTTTATCAAACTTTTGCTTCTCGCCATTTTAAACTTTTCATTTTTCGCGCTTTTATTGACATTTAATTTGAAAATTTCACAAAGTTGAAGATTTGGCGCTAAGTTAAATTGAATGAGATTCGTCTGGTTCTTTTACATTTCAGCATTTCTCGTCGCATTTCATCTTCTCATGAATTTCTGACCTCTTCTTGTTCGTTGTCAGCATTGGTAATAGAACGAGTAAGTGCAGAAAAATTTAGTCTTTGATTTTATCCAATGTTGCAAGAACCTCAAAATGTGTGAACCAAAAAAGTCCACTCAAACACCTATTTACTTGATTGGCTTGAAACTGGAAATCATATGAACTTCTGCTTCATTTACTCACTCTATTTATTCAATGTCGAAAACGATCGAGAAGACGAAGTGAAACGATAAATGCTGTATTACTTTAGTTGATTTGTTTCTAAAAAATTTTTTATCTGTTTGCCTGATCTGTGAAATCGGGTCCAAGATTCAACTAATCAGCAAAAATTTGTATTTTCGGGTCATTTTGCATCACCACACTGACAAGGAGCGAGAAGAGTTTATGTGTCAATTTTTAATTGCAATTTTATGGTTAAAACTGATTTAGTTATTATACAATGGATGTTTCCTTCATGCTAACAATGCTTCATCTCCGCATAAATAAATGTTTACTTTCCCAGCCTCAAAACTTGACAAACAGTTAAAACATTTCATTTTGCATTATTATTACAACAAAAAACAGATCTATTATTATAACAATATCAATATTAATAAAAGTTGATTAAAAGTTTAAGACAATTACATTTCCAAATAATTAAACATTGATTGTTTAAACAAACTGAAAGCTCAAGCTCAAGGCAACATAACACTTCCTCACCATAATGCAAATACTCATCACACGAAAGCTTTGAACCTTTTCATTTTGACGACTATTGGAAATTGTTCATAATGCAATCACTCGTCACTATTTAAACAGAATTTCCTTTCATTCTGAAGTCCACTTGAGTTTGATACGAAATGCAAAACGACAATTATGCTATTCAACTCGACATTTTCATCTCTAAAAATGGATTCCCTTTTAATGCAAATACCATTTCTCAATCATGTAATTATAATGACAATCTAAAGATCCATTAGTCTGTGTGTTTGGTCTCATCATTGACATAATGATGATGATCAGAAGAAGAAGAAAATTGGTCGAAAGAGAAAAGGCAATAATTGACAAATTGCTATGCATCACATTTGATTAGAATCCAAATGACTTGGTATATTGCAATCAAATAAAACATTAATTCTTGATCAATTTTCTCTTTTTCTCTCTTCCATCATTTCCAACTTCATGATTAACCCTGAATGTTTTTCAATGCACATCACCTCTTTAATAGTTTTAAAATGCATGTCAAAACATGTTTCAATTAAACACGAAACAAGTAAAAACACACAAAAAAAAACAATTGAAACAAGTGAAGGAATCGAAGCAATTTTGGCAAATTGAAATGAACAAATGTAAAGATTTTGCATTTCTTTACTTTCCATTGTTTGTTCAACATAAAGTTTGAATATTGTTGATGTAAAGTAATGGACGAAACAAGAGGATGTCCTCTATTTACCGGAATAAGGATTTTACTCCATGATTACTTTGAACAAATTAATGGACCAAGAAAATAATACAATATTATTATTTTTTGTGTCTCATCATCATCATCATCATTTCAACTTTATTTCTTTATTTCCTCTTATTTCCCTTTGCTTATCCACATTGACTTGATATGCTTGACCGGATGCCCAATCATTGATCTACCAACAGAAAGAATCGCCAATATTTCCTTTCTGGTCACCATTATACTTGATCAGCTTTTTTGCCTCTTCTTTTTCTTGGTCTTCTTCTTGATCGTCTTTGCTTCTTCATCTTCTCTTCTTTCATCAATCTAATAACATTTATGGGCTTACAAACTATCTTTTTACGGTTCATCTTTAACCAAGCAATATAAAAGCCTCAACATTTGCTGCTTTACCTCTTAACCTTGTAATTCATCTGTTGTCTTCGGCCACTTTCAATCAGTTGTTGATAGCCTTACAATCCCAACCGGACAATCCTTTTCTTGCCTTTATTCTGATTAAAAAGGTTCAGTTTCACAGGCAGCTTCAATGATGCAGCAAACCTTTTTTTTCATTAAAAGATTCAAATCAATGTAAACCATTTGTACAAGACTTTTACTCGACTCATGAAATGTCTTTTCTGATTGAACATGATTCGATCTTTTTTTTAATCAAAATTTTCTTTTCGATTCAGATGATATTTCCATTCGATCTTTTTTTAATAATGCATTCTGTTTAATCACCAGAGACATTATCATCTCACATTACGTCCATTGTTTGGTCATTGTAATATTACATTTCCAAATGTAATAGGAATGGTAAAGAGTATAAGTTGAGGAAAGTTGAAGTTGCAACTTGGATCAACAATTGTGATTACAATTTGTTCAATCATAGCTAAACATAGATTCAACTGATTGCATTTACGGATTACAAGACCGCAAACAAGAAAGACTTTTATAAGAAGCAAATAAATATCTTTTCATCTCTCTTTTGTTGATAATATAAATATCAGTTGAAAGTAAAAACTAATAAGTAAAAAAAGAAGGACGGAATAAAGGTTGAGCTAAACTAGCAAAGTAGTTATTAATCTCATCTCATCATCTGGAAGCCATATAGATGATGTACAGTTGACAGAATCCTAGTTGATATCAATCAAAAAGAAAAGATAAATCCGTTGAGAAGAAGAAGAGATAAAAATAAGGGAATTAAATTGAATATTATTCAATGTGATTAACAAAAGGAAAATAATAAAAAAGTGAAATAAAGTCTTGCATAAAAAATGTTGAGCAAATGGGATGAAAATTAACAATCGATTGCGGTCACATCAAGGTCTACAGATATTCCGTTGCCTCCTCGAAACCAGAGACAGGTATTTTGACTCATCTACAAGAAAATATTATTTTTAACGTTTCTGTGCTTCAATCGATTCCATTTGATGCCTTGAAAACTCAACTTAGCTGTTAGCTTTCTGCCTCTGACTAACTGTTCAAACATTACAATAGTTTTGTTTAAATGCAATCCCAATTTGGTAAACAAAATGTTTCTTATTGATAGCGGGTTAGAAAGCAATTTGTTACAATGGAAACTGATGAATTGTAATGATATTGTCATGATGAATGTACATTAATAAGTTATTTTTGGGCTGATAGATGATAAATTTGTGGTGAAATGAGGAGAAAGGAGAGAGAGAAAAAAATGTTACTAATAAAGTTGTAAAAAGAGTTTCTTTAATAATGTTGAGCATAAGTTTTAATAAGAGCCGAATGTGGTTTCATTTGGCAAGAGTAGAGGCCGACTAAGCACAATGTTGATGTTGTAAGGTTATTGGTTCAGGGTTAAATTGACGATACAATCGACCCTTAGGCTTGATAAGATCAACAACAGGCAAGACACAGATTGGCATGAAGTGAGAATTATCGTCATCTTGCATTATTTTTGTGAACATTAATCGTCTGTCATTGACTCGTGGTGATGATAACATAATGTTCAAGTTAAACAGGGAGTAAGAACAGAATTGGACAGGCAGGGAGAAGATGAGAGAGAGCTAGAAAATGGATCAAGATGATGATTGTTAGTGGATGAGGGTGAAAAGAGAGCATAAAATGGCAACAGTGTGCTTCAGGGTGAACACAGGTTGGGAATATGAGAGAATAAGAAAATGATAATAATGAGATGGAAAAGTTGTTTTTCGATATTAGTTTAACAGGCAAAGGCGAAAAGAAAAAGAAAAATTGTGCTTTCATTTGGTTTTCTTTTTTCCCCATCTTCTTCATCTTCTTGTCGACTTTTTCCTTTGTGTAAATATTTGTTTCTTGTCTTGTACCATCGTCATTATTATTATTATAGTTATCATTATTATCATTCCCAGTTTCGCCTTTTAGTGTATCAATTTTGTCACACTTATTCTTGCGGTTTCCATGTTGATTCAAGCTTTCTTGTTATTTTGTCCAAACAAGAACATGATAAAGTTGCCCTTTTCCATGAGAATTTTATTTTTGCATTTTACCAGGGAGTGAATCATATCAATGATAATCGATTTGCAGTTTTTATCGAATTTTCCATCTTCTGTTGACATTAATTTATAAATGATCAAAATGACAATAAACATTGAAATGAAATTTAACCTTTTTTCACAGTCACTTTCAACACTTGATATTTAACCATTTTGCACAATTTAACTCGAGAATCCGTTTCTCATAACACAATGATTACATCAAAGTTGACATTTTGATGGCATTTCAAGATTCTTTACTCATCAAATCTTGCCTTTTGAGATTCCCTCAACTGCACTCAACATTGATGCTCACATTACACATTGAACCCAATCCAACCTGACCTTGCAATGTTCAAGTGCTTTTGTCTCTCAAGATCATCATTACAATGGCAAAGGTGAAAAGAAGCCAAAAGAGGCGCGCACATTTTGGCCCTTTTCAAATGCAATCCAAGCAGGGAATGAAAGTATAAAAAAAGTCTTCTCTTGAAAACCTCTCGAGAATGCAACACTAAATTGGTGGAAGAAGAAGAAGCAAAAAATTACCGTTTATTTAGATTCAAGTTGAAGCTTGTAATGGATTAAAAGATGCTGTTATTGTTGGTACTGTTCATGATGATAAGGATGATTATTACAAGGAAATAGAGTAAATATCAAAGTGTAGTTTTCTTGTTCATCTTTTTTCGCTTGAGATAACCTTTTCTCTCTCTCTCACATTGATGGCCATTGATGATTCTGATTTGGAC